AGAGGTAATACTAAGAAGTTCTGAGTTGGCCCATAGGAGAATTGGGCCACATACTTGTGCATCTGTAGTGCTGGGCTTTGGAAAGGACTGGAACTGAGGATCTGACCCGCTGAGTGTAGTCTTCTGACAAGCACCATCATTCTCCAGGGGAGGAGTAAGATGCCAGCTAAGAATAGGTGGAAAGGGTCAGGGTATGAGATGCAAACTCATTCTTGCATCAGCCACTTCCATCTATTGAGGAAATAGAAGCCACAGTCCTGGACACTGCTCGCAGGATGACACTCAAAGAGGTGTTCAAGGAAGTCTCTGTAGATGGTCAGTGTCCTAACCTGAGTGAATGAGGACAGCTGTGTTGCTCTGAGGGATTCAGAACGCAAAAAGAGGTGAACGGTTTGCAGGAAAGCTGAGCTTATAGCTGAACTTAAGTTTGGGATACCTGGGAATGACAACCAGGGCATTCGGATAAATTCACTGAGAGCCCTAGAGAAGACCGAGCTGGGAATGGAATCAGTGACACAGTGAAGATCATACAGGGGGCTGGGGATTTAGCTCAGCGGCAAAGCGCCTGCCTGGCAAGCGCAAGGTCGTGAGTTCGGTTCCCAGAACCAGAGAAAAACCAAAAATAAAAAAAAAAGATCATACAGACTATAGGGTAGAGATAGAAAAGAAATATGGAAGACTAATTGTTATGGTTTCTGTCTAGATGTCCCCCCAAAGCCTCATACAGTCATGGGTGGGCTTCTAGAGTTTTTGGGTGATTCATGGTCCAATGCTGGGATTAAGGGTGCGAGTGCTACACTTGCCCTGGGGTGGGCAGCCTGCATATAATCAATGTAAGGGAGGGAAAGAGGCTTGCTTTTTCTGTGGTTTCTCCCTTTTGATCTTGCAGCTTTTGCTGTTTTCTGTGCCATGAACGGTTGCCCTCTGCCATGTGCCACTCTGTCTTGGAGCCAGCTGAGTATGGACTGAAACCTCCCCAAACTGTGAGCTGAATAAACCTTTCCTTCCTTCATTTTGGGCTTGAGGTATTTTGTCTCAGCAATAGAGAAAAGTAAACAAGGCAGTAATATTTAAAGGCCAGTACTTTCTATCTAGCTGAGGGCAAGTGGCCCTCCTAGAATCTAAGAATGGTTGAAAAGCAAGAAAATTAGAAAAGAGTGCTTTAAGAAACACAAGGTTGTTGACAGTATCGACTGTTGCGATGTTTGGCTGAGAGAACTGAAGGGTCCGCTCAGGAGCAGGAATTCTTCAGGGTCTCTATCTGAAGTTCTCAGTAGAATGGCAGGAAATGTGGCCATTCTGAAATTCTGGAAACAGCAGGAGGTGAGGAAATGAAAATTATAATGAAGACTGTTTTCAAGAAACCTGACTATGGAAGACACGGCCCATCAACAACCAGGGCGATCTCAGTAGAGTGTGAAAACTAGTTTCCTACGGTAGAGTGGCTAAGATGAAAGGTTGGAGCTTAAGAACTCAGCATCAGTGAGGAAAATGAGGTCCGTGGAATGGCTATTCAATGTCCAAGAGCACAGTCAAGATTCTCAGGTCAAGGCGGGCAGCGTCTAGAGGGGAGAGAAGAAGGTCGCTAAACCCTTGCGCTGCTGACACGGGTGAGACCCAGTTGCACCAGGCCAGGGTGCGTCTCCTGCCATAGGCACGGCCCCTGACTCTGGGGCGCCGGCTGCTCTGCGAGCACGCAGGTTCAGGGACCGCGGGTCTGCGACCCAAGACATGAGCGTGGCGGAGCTCCCGAACCCTCTCCCGCCTTCGGTTCTCACTCCGCCCGCCGCGCCCAGGCTCAAGCCCCTCAGGTGTCACTGCAGGCGGTAGGAGCCATGGCACCAGCCTGGTCGCAGAGGCCTCTGGGAATGGGTCGGAACTGCATCTCCCAGGAGGCCCCGCGGGCTCCTCAGATCGGCAGCGGGAGGGACGGGGCGTAGCCAAGACTTCGGCTCCAAGGAGCGTTTCCGAGCGCTTCCGAGCGTCGCCGAGCACTTCCGAGCGTCCCCGAAAGAGGGACACGAGGGGGCCCCGGCTTTCGCTTGCCGCGGGGCTCCGGCTCCCACATTCCCAAATGCCTTGTGGTACTCCCGCTCTTACTCCGGGCAGTGCCAAAGGCTCAGAAGGGCTCAAGTTCGTGGTACGAGGTTGTTGAGCCAGACAGGTCGGCCCCGGCTCTGGGTCCCTTGCAGAGGCCTGACTGCAGAGCAGAGCGCAGGCGCGGGCAGAGGCTGCGAGGAAGACAGGTGCAGGAGAGGTGCTGAGCGGGGGTGCTTGGAAGTCGGGGGACAGGAAAAGAAAAACCGAGTGCGACCTCAAGACTTTGCGAGGAGTGCCGACACCTGGGCAGCCGCAGTGCCCTTGGGGCCGCGGATCGGCGGTGTCCGTGGTTGGTAAGTTTGTGGGGACACTGAGCAGACAGATATGGGGAGCCAGCAGGCTGGACAGGGGTGGACCAGGTGAAGAGGTGGTAGAGGAGGCCACAGGGAGGGCTGAGGACAGAGCCTTGGGGCCGACGTGCCTACATTTAGGGGTGAACAAACAGAGCGGGGGTCCCCAGGGAGACTGCAGTGGACAGTGGGGAGTACGGTCCTCTGGAGGTTGAGGGAAGTTTCCCGACGAAGGGAGGAGAACCCAGGAGAGGCTGAGCTGGAGCTAGAGACATGACAGCCGGATTGGGGAAGGGGGATGTGGCCTTGGAGATCCTGACTCTGCTTTCAGACCCTGACTGGAGAGTAGAGAAGAACGAGGTGCAGGAGTGGAGAGGAACGACGCTCTCAAGTAATTCTGCTTTGCGAGAGAAAGGGGCAGAGGCAGACAGAAGGCAGGGCGCCTGGGCTAGGCTGTCGGGTGGGTGCGACAGGCAGAATAATGCTGCTTCCCCCAGGTCCGTGTCCTAATTCTCAGAACCTGTGAATGTGTTGCTTTATTTTTTTTCAGTCAGATTTTATTGGTACATTTTAGATACACATAACGACACATTCACCACAGAGAATTTGTACACCGTGTTGCTTTAGAGACAAAGTGTGATTAAGGACGGTGCAAATGTGATTAAGGATTAAGCTACAGAGTTTGGAATTAGGGAGATTATCCAGGATTATTTAAGTGGGTTCGGTGCAATCATAGGGGTCCTTAAAAGAAGGAAAAAGGAGACAGGGGCGAGGGTTAGGAGATGTGACTGTGAAGGATCAGACAGGACACGTTGCGTTGCTAGCTTTGAAGGTCAGAAAGGGGCCATCAGCCCAGGTGGCCTCAAGCAAGAAGAGACGTGGAAATGGGTTACCCTCAAACTTCTAGGAAGGAGCACAGCCCTGCCTGGTGACACACTGAGTGGATCCCAGGGTCCCTGTGTGGGTCTCCTATGGAACCGCCAGATAATAAAATTGTGTTTTAAGCCACCATGCTTGTGCTCCTTTGCTGGTGCAGCCACAGAAAACTGACAAAGAGGGCTGGGTGAGGAGGCCAGACCACCCATGAGGGAGTGAGGAGGCAGTGGGAAATAACTGGCAGAGTGGGCAGCCAGGGTGCCAGGCTGCACCACAGGCAAGAGCAGCTGTCACCTCAGGAGGCAATGGTGGTCACCACTGTGGGAGCCATTTTTATCACACTGACTGACTTTGCTGATGAAAGGCTGGAAAATCACAGACATTCGCTAGCATCAGGTGGCTGGGGAAAAGTGTTTAGTTTAGCACACCCCTGTATCACTCATAGCTCCCCTGTGAGTGATACAGTAATGCCCCTGAAGGTGAAAGGCCAGTTCTAGGTCAGAGGGGCACAGAGCCAGAGTGCTGGGTCCTTGCCTCTGGCCTTGGGCAGGTCCTAGTCCCAGCAGCACTTTGCTCAGGTCAGCCTCCTGCTCCCCGGTCCTAGGCTCCCCCTGGCCACCTTCCAGGGCCTTGGGAAGCTGTGGTGAGGCTGGAAGTTACAGAAAACTTGTTCCTTCAGAGCGGTCCCTGGCAGATGCTCCCCAGATGGCATAGGAGCTCACCATGGTGGCCTCTGGGTGTGTTGAGAGCCACAGGAAACAGAGGGCTCACAGGAAGACCTGTTATCCACCTGTGTCCCTATGGCCACTTGCTTCAGTCTGTAGGGGGTGATGAAAACAACCCCAAGAATAACATTCCCGTTCCTCTGTTCCTCTCTTGTGGACCCTTCCCCCTTACCCCAGCAACTTAGACCCCTTGCTGAAATTAACTGCATCTGGTTGTAGCCCAGTGGCAGAGGTCTGCAACTGAATAGCAAGGAAGCCAGAGTGAACTCCCAGCTCTGAAACATCTCCGGTGGCTGGGCCCTGCTTGGGAGCTTTCATAAAGGGGAAGCTGGGGAAGATGCTCTTGAAGCAGAGGCCCAAGAGGAGACCCCGACATCGGTCCTACATTCCCACATCTCACTGCTGCCTAGGCAACGTCAACCAGAGGGAGAACAAGGTGCTCTGGGGCCCTGGAGCAGGAGGGGATGAGCTAACCATGGCAGTGATTGCTGCCGGCTGCCCATCCCATCACCCTCTGTCCCTGGCTGTTTAGACCTCCTGGGCCCAGGTGACCTCAGGTTCAAGCTGCCTGGGGCTGTGGCACCAAGAGAGAGCTCCAGGTCAAGAAAAGTGACAGGCTGACACAAGCAGACTGCGTGTCATGTGCATGGACCCCATACCAAGTCTTTGAAAGACACTTCTGAGCCAAAGGGCTAGCAGGTAGGCATTAGTGCTGTTATTCCCCAGAAGCTGGTGAGCAAGAGAATACAGGGACGGGCCACTTCCCTATCATTGTGTTATCCTGGCGCAAACCGCATGCCAACGGAGTCATTCTCCAGGGCACACACAGTTCCAAGGAGAGGAGGCCAGGCCTCAAGGCCTGCCCAGCAGTTGGCAGGGCTCCATCACCACCTGATGATAAACCGTGAGAGAATTTAAAAGACATTCAGTAGCATCACAGGGAGGGGAACATGTGCTCAGTTTAGCATTCACTCTTTGAACACATTAGTGACATCACACCAGCAATACCTCGAAGGTAATTAACCTCAAAGTCCTTTATTTAATTCAATCGAAACATCCTGTTGCAACCAAGTACACAAACGCAAGTGTGCTACAAGCAAGCCTGTACAGAGCTGCTCTGAGCGCTGCCTTGAGGTGCACCGACTCTCCTGGTCTCCTGCCTGAAGTGGCAAATTTAAGCTTCTGTTGAGGCCAGGGCTGTCAGGACCTCAGTGTCCCTGCCCAGGACAGTAGTGCGCAGTCCCCAGGGGAGAACCAGCACCACCCCTGTCACCTCTGCCGAACAGCCAGAGTGCCTCGGAAGGCTGGGACAGGTGAGTGACAGCCAGCCTTCCTAGCTCTAAGCAATTCCTCCTGCCGGCAGCTCTTCCCCTCCATCCACCCCACAGCTGCAGGATCCATCGAAGTGCCTCCCTCAGGAAACAGGGCTAGGGGGTCTCCCTGGGTTGGGCATCAGGGGCTGTCCTCAAGCCATCCACCGGAAGAGGACAGACCTGGGGTTCAGAGAGGAGGGAGCCGAGCTTGGGAAGGCCCGGCCCAACCCACAGATCCCCGCTGGCGTTGGTCACCAGGGCCTCCAGACACTCTGGGATATCTGGGCCACCGTCAGGCTGCTCAAGGACGCGGGCACCATGCCCCACCCTTCAGCAGGTGCCCGACTCAGCTCCGCCTCAGGGACCACTTCTAGGTCAGAGCAGAGGTCGTCCCCGGGGGAAGAGGGGCTTGGCAGTGGGGAGCCTGGAGCTCCGGTTGGCCCGGCCAGGGCATCCCCCAGCAGATCGCGGAAGCTGCTGCCCTCACGCAGCGGCATGGACTCCAGCAGGTGGTTCAGGAGCTCAGCAGCGACTGTGGCGTCGATGGCCTGGCACGTGGATACGAAGGTGTGCACCTCGTGCATGCACTGGATGTACCCGGCAGCGAAGCGCTCGCTTGCTTCTGCCTGTAGCTGCTCACGCTCTGCGCCACGGACCGGAGGGAGACAGCGCGGTAAGCGGTGAGCAGCGACTTCGAGGCCTGCCCGGCCCGGGGGGTGGGGAGCCCCCTGCGCCCCTCCGCCACTCACCGCGCGTCCGGCCCCTCAGCGCGCCCTGCACGCGCCGCACCGTCAGCTCCAGCACCTCAGCGTTCTCCAGTTTGGCCTGCACCTGCGGGGGCCGGGCGGTGAG